CAGTAAGGCTTATAAATGTCACCGTTTTTGATTTCATAATAATGATGACATCTAAAAATACATAGGAGAACGTTATAAAGAAACATTGCTAAGTTTGAGACATAGTTACTATAAGTACAGTAAAAGTACTCTTTTTTTAAGATGTTATTTTTATTATTTCTGGTTTTGGGCAGTTTACTAAATTCTACGTCTCTTGTATAATTGATATAAATTAACAGTATGGATGTATATTATTTATACCCAAAATGTGTTGTTCTAAATTGATAGACAATAATAATAACGAAATAAAAACTAAATTGACCAACGTGCAATGGCCTATTTGCAATGTCAGTGCTAACTCGATAGCTCGAATGTATTGCAATCAATCATATCGATGAACTTCATGAACCGACCTCGTTAGGGCGGAAGATCTTTACCTTACAGTCATTAGACATTATCAAAATGTTTTACGGAAATGATAATATGCTAATGGCAGACAGAACCGAAAACAACATTTTAATAAATAAATGTATTTTTTTCTTTAAGTTGAGCTTGCTGTGTTTTCGATAACCTATCGCTAAAATAACATCGAACCCAGACAGAAGAATGCGAAAGGGATCCTGACAATGTTGCCGTTAAAGTCCCGAGTTGTTTTAGCGGGTTTTGCTTTGAAAAAAGTTATATGTATCAACGCGTCTTAGCATTAAACTAAAGTTTCGGGTTGTTTACGGAAAATAATTATTATATTTTACTTTTTAATGTTACTCGAACCGTCAAAATGTGTTCACGATTAATATTTTAAAACATGATATTAAAATATATTTGAAATACTCTAATTACAGAAGGTAAACTTCATAAAATAAACACTTCAATTTATATATTTTTCGCAATTCGAAACATATGTAAATAATAATGTGTACTGTAGGTGTTTAACAAACAACACACCCAATTAATGCAGCGTAATCTTTTTACTGTGTATTTACGATAGAAGGAATGCGCAATTAAAGTTTTCTTTCAGAAACTGTACGAATTATAAGGTCATTTACGATGTTTTCCTTCACAGTTTAAGAGACTGCTAAATGCGTACATTGTTGAATCTACCACCTTTCTGAGAATGTGTGTCTGAAAATTATTAATTAATGTGCAATGAAGTGTGAATAATTACATAAAAAGAGCGTGAGCGCGTTCAGCCATGCTCCTTTCACGGTAAGCTTAGTAAATAATCAAGAAGTTTCTTACATAAAGAGTGTTTTTATTTTGATAATAAAGCATAATTATTACAATGATATGCGCAACTAAACGGTGTTCATTTACCTACATTCAGCTCAATTTCAACTATATCTGCAGTTTCTGTTCAAATATTCATTCATACCAATGTTATCACCATTCAATAAATTTATTTGTTAATTATTTTACCACTTGAAGCTGCATGTTGAGTTTGTACAACGTAAATTTTACAAGTTTGCGACATCAGTTAGAAAGACTTCATACCTAATGAGTAATGGAATTGACGATACATTAGACAATGTCAACTATAAAATTTAAGAAAATCGGTTTTAAGTCCTTCTTTGTCTTAAGTCTTTCTTCTAAGTCTACTTTGACATTTATAAGCTTAACCGGTGATGTGATTTCGGTGACATATGAAATGAAAACATATGCTAAGTCTCAGATTTATCGTACAACGTTACCACAGTTGGCAAGTCTGTTTCATTTTTAATTGAATTCTTTGCCAATGTCTGGCAAGAATCATGTGTAATCTGAAATGAATAAACGAAATTAATATTATGTTTTAGGTTTGTAACAACTTAATTAATACTGCATTTTCCACATTTATGTATTTTATTGGTATTTTTCTGATAGGTTTCTGTGATACAAGCCGATATTTCAGTTTTTACTACCGGTAATCAGCAATGACAAGAATTAGACTATAAACATTGTATAAAAACAAAACTTTCTAAAATAATTTTCGGCACGGCGCTCTGGAATGCAGTTCAAAATAATAAATAGCAGGAAGGACCTGTTTGGTTTCGGATTACAAACTTAGTTTTTATCTAAATAAAATAAACAGACATCATAAAATTTTACGAGTTTCTTGACCTAGACTTCATCAAACTTCCAAAAGATAAAATTTATTACAGATAATCTTGGACTTTTACCATATTCATTCAATTTGTATTTAAAAAGGTACATTTTAACTGATTCCTTTTAAATATTGTGAAAGAGTTACTTATGGATAGTTATTTTCATAGTTATCCTTTATTTTATGTGTAGTACTCGCGTAAATCAAAGATGTTTTTCTTGATACATAAAACCTATGGAAGCCAATTTAAAGTTAAACATAGAATAAAGAATAGGAAGAAAACACCTTCACATACAATAAAATATAAGGAATATAAAAACATTTTCATTATAATAACATAAGCTGTAACTTTAAATATAACCTTAACTAAATAACGCTAATGTAATCTATATACGTATCGCTCAAAAGCCCTAAGGTGGGGTTCAATTTGACCTTGAGCTGAGATACTTGTTTTACGATTGCGATCTGACCTTCACAACCCCAATTTTTGGGGATAGGGGAGACTGAAGGGAAGGCTAAAATCCAGATTTGCTAAGTACCTATTCTCAATATAATGAGTTTGAAATGATAACTGGAGATCTTTAATATTTTTTTTAATTATGCAGTGGACAAAAATGATTTTAGATTGTTGATTGTACTAAAAAAGTTTTTTTTAATATTTTGAGTGACAGCAAGATAAGTAAATACGTACGTTTCGATGTACGTTTTTATTTAGGCGATATATAGGCGAACAATAATATTTAAACACAATGTTACATGATAACATTTAACTTGGAAATTTTAGCCTGATTATACTGGACCTTATATACTGTTGATAGCAGTTTTTTAAAGAAACTAATATTAACAGTTGAACAATAGCTTATTTAGAGTTAAATTAAAAAGGCCATTCTTTATAACTAAGCATATATGTTAAATTTTGTCCCCATATGACATTGAGTTTGAAAAAAATGTTGATTTTCCATATCTAGTAATCTCGTGTCACTTCTCTTTGATAAGTGCTCGATGCTTAACTGTGTGTGCTTTTGATAAATATTCTGTTTGCTTAGAGACTTTTGAATTTAATATTCAGTCTGTGATCAAAATTTCCGTTACAGACTGATATAAAATAGCTTATTTGTTTGGCATAATTTGAGCTTTTTAATAAATGTATTTTAAATTTATGTCAATTGAAATAGTTGTCTATGATATAAATAATTCTTATCGTTGTCTTAAGATTATATTCATTTTACGTTTATATAAACTATTTAATGATATCAAAATTTATCTATAATATCCCGATAAAACAATTGACAATCACGCGGCGTACTGTTGATAATTATATTTTCCTGAGCTCCGGGTTATCGTTATTTAATTGTATTTATTTTTAACACGCGGAATCTTGAACGCTATTTTCAAGGGCAAGGACTAAAATATCTATATGCGTACATGCGTGTCTTATCTTTCGATAATATTTATTGACAAATTTTTAAAAATGTATAAATTAGTTTTTCTTTTTAATATTTGAAATTCTTTTGAATTGTGTTAGTATATTTTTATGATATTTTTGTAGTTAGGACATTACTCACGTATGTTGTAGTAATAATCATCAAAACATGTATATTTACCACGAACCTATGTAGTTTATTATTAAATTTCCTTTAGAAGTGAAATAGCATAGTACTCTATATACAATTCCTTCCTAGGTACACATACATCATTACTTCCCGATAGTTACATTATAAAAGAACAAAGTTATACGTATACTAAATACATAGCTGAAGTCGTATTAATAAGTAGTATATAATTACTATAATAAACAAGCGGTAGAATTTAAAAACAGGATAGTCTGTAAAAAGCAATAAAAGAAATTCCGCAAGAGATTGTTAAGATTCAGGGTCAGTTTAAAGAAATCGATTTTATAAATTATATCCAAATCGAATTGCAGACGACTAAAAAAACAAGCGAGTTATGGCTAGACTCTTGTAGATTGAATAGAAGCGCATAATATGAACTTTTCAACGGTGGTCTGATATTGCATTCAGCGATTGCGATAAAAAGTTGTGAATCAAGCTTCTTGAGTGTACTTTAGCTTTTATAACTTGAGGGAAAGAAAGACTTGTTCAATTGTTGTATTTATACGGCGTTGAAATAGTTTTATTGTAGTCAAAGCAACTAGGATTTTGGATTTCATATATGCAATTCAGTAAATTAGAAACATAGGTTTGTGACTGATTACTTTCATATGTTTAACACATATACATAATACAAATGTGTTCCTTGTTTCTATTTAGTTTTAAAAATAAGTTAATCCGCGTTTAACTAGCATACTTTGAAATGTAAATGTAACACTTTACGAATATGTATATGAAAATAACTAAATTATTTTCTTAAACGGAAATCTGAATGCCCAGAGATGATCTCATTTTAAAGCATTTTTTATTTGTTGTTTTACATATTTAAGCGTTATCTAGATTTTAGAAATGAAACAAAACCGGTTTTCTCAAATAAGCTACATGTCGTGAGAATAAAAACGGAAAAACAATTATACCTTTTAGAGGATAAACAAACAATTTCATTGATCAATAAAAATTACCGGTTTTTTGAATCTGTAGGAAATTTTGTTCCCGTTAGTATCGATTGAATGTCGTACTGAAAATAAATTGTTGGTCCCGTAAGGCAATAAAGCTCCAGCCGATAGCTTGTTATGTATTTAGTGTTGCCATTTTAACAGTAAAAAAACGAAATGGCGATAACAAATACTCTTATAAAACAAAAACATATGCGATTTTTTAATATTTATTTTATTTACTTTTCTCCTGTTGCTTTGTAATATATGTAGATTTAAGTAATATAATATGGCGAAGCGTAGCGTTTAAGTTTTCAGGAAAATTTGCCAAAAAATGTTTCTAATACTTTCCAAGAACATAAAATTATTTCGATTTTAGATTCAAAAATCATTAATATGATTATGAACAAAAACGCCCCTCCGTTGAATATTGATGCATCAGTTCTGCTCTTCGTTTCTGGAGTTCGCTCATCACGAATCTAAAGAAATAATTATTAGATGGAATAAAATAATCATCACATTGTATCCAAAAATATTCCATGTTATCAATAAATCCAATCGAGGTTCCCATTTGATTTCTTCACGTTTCGGAATGCGGGTCTTAGATGCATGTTACTGAGAGTAGGAACTGCAAGCGTCATATTACGTAAGTCAGTTACGAAAGTCAAGATCGCTGCGTCAACTCCGCGTCAGGTCGTCGACACTATTCGGCATTGCGACCGTGAGCAATAAATTCTTGAACTTGTTCGGTGCAGTGTTCATTCATAAAACGAACGCACCAACAATTACCATGTTTTGTTTCTAAAAACTTTTTTCGGTACATGCGAAAAGGTACATCGAATAAGCTTTTATACTACTAAAGATCCGTAATATGCTCATCAAGAACTTTATCCGTCTCTGAGTTGGTATGGGTTTGGTTAAACATTGTTTAGCATTGGAAGGAAACACAAGGATCACTTATTAATAATAAAAATAAATCTTTCCCTATATTAAGGAAGAGAACTGGCAGTAAATGTAAAATTAGAAGCATTTAATGTATATTTCTTGTTTGACGTTCATAAGTGTACATTGATTTGATTTAACTGTCCTTATTAAGGGTTTCACTGGGCCATAAACACTCAGAAAAAGTTTTGTAACACAAACTATTTCTTCTATGCGAAGTCAAGTTAATTTTTTTTTAAAATATGTTGTATATAGAAATTTTGTGTCCTTTATTCTAAATAACAATTTTGTACAGGGCTCTCCACGACCGCTGGTGGATTGGTCAGGGGTGCCGACCATCATCCTGGTGGTCTTGGCACTCGTGATGGCAGCTACAGCAATGATGGTACGTCCAGGGGATGCCAAGAGGCCCATTCGGCTACCAGGGCCACCAGCTCTACCGATTATTGGGACCAGGTGGCTGTTCTGGAGTCGGTATAAGTTAAATAAACTCCACGAGGCTTACGAAGGTGAATAAAGCTGGAATTTTAATAAAGTTTTTGACTAATTTAGTAGTATAGTGGACTGGTTTGGATTATTATTAAAAACGTTTCTATGTGATACGGATAAATACTAGTACAACTTGTTTTTTATAGTTAAAATAAGCTGTAATCTAACATAATGTATCTACTAAATACTAATGCATAACGCATTAGAATTAATAAGATAATTAAGCAGTTATTCGATTCAAAATTCATCTATTTACACTTCAAACTTCTCTTTTCACTCCACTCAGAATTCATGCTGCGTTTTGAGTGTAAAACCATAAACAACTTTCGCATTATCTAGGCTTGATCCATGTAGTCTATTGCCTAAAATGTTGCTAAAATAACAATAGTATGTAATGTAACGTACTTTACTTGCGTTATGTATCCCATGCCCCAAGTAGAGGTAACGGGATCATTTTAGGATTTAATAAGGGTCACAACGCACCCTAGCCGCATTCAGAGATTTGCACACAGATATGTTCAGGCGATACGGGCTGGTGTTCGTGGAGATGACGCCAGGGGGCACCCCTATAGTGTCAATAGCGGAACGGGGGGTCTTGGAGGCAGTATTGCGGACACCGTCTAAGAGACCTTATCGGCCTCCCACGGAAATCGTCCAGGTGTACCGCCGCAGCCGTCCCGACAGATACGCGTCGACCGGACTTGTCAATGAGTGAGTATACATGCTTCCGATCACAAAACATATTACTGAAGGCTGATAGTAGTTTAAATAATGCTCTGCGGCTCATGTTATTCAATGCTCACGCCGAATGCCTTTAGATGGCCTTCGTTCTTATCCGGTATAGTTATTTTTATTTTAACAAAATAAGTTTACCATTACGAGTCAACCCAATGCGGCAACTATTTATATCATATACAAGAAAATACCACGACATTTACCAGTAAAATATTAAAATATTTACAAAATGTCTAATTATTTCTAACACTATAGGACCTAACATAAAGCCTTCCTTCCTTATAAAAATATAAGTAAAACAGAAAAAGGACAGTTCCATGTCCCATTAGGGCCATTTTAAAATACAGTAAGTCTAAAATACAAACTCCGCAATAGCTTCGTAATAGTTAAGTGAGAGTTTCACATACCAACTTGATAAGGTTATCTCATTTTGAAAAAGCCAACGAAATTACCCCAAACGATAATAGCAACAACTAAGTAAGTAGTTAGTTAGTAAAGTAAGGCAATCTTCTTTTATAGGTGACTAGTGGACCCCAGAGACGTTGTCCTGCATGATATTTAAAGCGATTAGGATATTAAGCAAAGTATGAACCGACTGCAGTGCCATCTGCCGGGCTGATTTGTGAATCTAAACCATTCCCAGATCCCCTTGAACACACACAAAAAATTTCATCAAAATCGGTCCAGTCGTTTGAGAGAAGTTCAGTGACATACACACTCACAGAAGAATTATATATATAAAGATTAGGTTATTTAACTCAGTATTTTAACTCTTTTAAAAGAACTTTCCATCTAATGTTTCTTAAAAGCTATTCATTAACACTATATCACCTTTCCATCACCTCAAAACATATTGGTAACTGTTTACCTTATGCGTCTAAAGTGTGGAAAAACCTGGATGCTGTCCGTCGCTTTACTTTGTAAATGTAATATGTAGTATTATTATTTTCGTAAATATATTTATATAAAAAGTCATGTTGTAAATGTCCAAAATTGTATTGGGAATCAAGTCTTCGCCCTCAAGGTTATTAATAATTGACAGTCACCTCATCTTAATATATATATTTCTTCTGTGCGTGTGTATGTGACTGAACTCCTCTCAAACGACTGGACCGATTTTGATGAAATTTTTTGTGTGTGTTCAAGGGGATCTGGGAATGGTTTAGATTCACAAATCAGCCCGGCAGATGGCACTGCAGTCGGTACTTTCATACTTTGCTTAATATCCTAATCGCTTTAAATATCATGCAGGACAACGTCTGTGGGGTCCACTAGTTTTCCTATAAAAGTCTTACATGTTACAAATAATCTGACTTTATTTGCTACTAACTAAACATTAAATTATATTTTATAAATTCACGGATGCCTTACCAAATATAAAAATATATATTTCAAAGAAGACAGTGAATTGCGTTTAAGTTTTTGCGTAACAAGGGAAGGAAAAATTCATGCATTCCGGTCACGTACTAATGATGGTTCTGACCACTTTTTTTGACAGACCAAACACTTCCTGTCGTTGCACGTTATGGCTTTATTCGTACTTTGAAGGTCATATGTTTATTTGTATAAAGAAGAATCCGCATTGGAGCTGTTAAAACTATTAAAGTAAAAGATTTAAATATGAGCTTAAGGGTCTGTTTCACATTGTACGGATAAGTTCTACATAAGTTCCAAATTAGCTATTTATTACTTATTGGTAGGATAAACACTATTGTTGCGTTTCACGAGTCACGACTGTCAGATAGCGCTATTCGTCACATAAAGGCCATCATAAGTTATGAGTCCGATGAAGTGTCAAATAGCACAATTCATCTTCCAAATAATTTATGTGTTGCATAGCTATTTGGTACTTTATCCATACATTGTGAAACAGACTCTAAATCTCTTTGATTTGACTTCATACTTCGAAAGACAGCTTCGCTTTTATATCAGTTAAAAGAGTTTTATTTGAATGTTTATAAAGGAGTTCTCAATTTGTTCTTTGAATGCCAATTTAAATATTCTATTTTTCTATTAATTTTAACATTTAAGAAGTGGTATTCTTAATTCGCTTTATGAATGACTGTGCCAATTTCTAAATTCTTATATATATTTCAAGTCCTGCACTTATTTATTCTATTTCTACAAATATATCAGTGAAATTTAATTAGATTTAGAGGTGATCACACACGTCAAAATGTATGTTATTGTTACTTACAAAAGCACGTTAAAAAATAACGATAATTGTACTAAAATTGGTTAAAATTGTAGCCCACGTAGTTATGACTTCATGCCGAGTTGTCTTGTAATGCTTATGGCAATTAATGTGCTTTATAAAAACGATATTATACACGCAGGAAAACGAAAGAAAAATCTTGATTCATTTGTTCCGAGTACACACCAACAACAACTTACACTTATAACATTGGTACAAGTATATTAAAAGATTCATCAATATTTGTTTGTTTGGTTAAACGGGCGAATCTCAGTAACTACTTTCAAATCGAAGATTATGCTACGAATGAAACCGCGGAGATGTTAGTTTTTTATTTGTTTCCACGTGTATAATGACGAAGTTTGATAATTGTATGTAAATATTTATTGCTAACAATTTAAATACTTGACTTGAATAATTTATTTTTTATACTCGCAATTATTGACGATTGATTGAGGATTGATTTGACAGGATGTTACTACAATCTAATACGATTAATTTGTATTTGTACTAATTAAAATAATATTCTGATTTAGAATTTAAATATGATCTGAGATATTTCATGCATAGCTGTTTCGCTGATCAAGTGTTCTTCGATCCGATCGAGGGTAATTTTTTTAAATTATTGTTTCCCTACGAATTAAAGTAGACTTTTGACCAATGTAACCAACTAAGTATTAGATACTTACGCTTACCGTACGCAGAAAGCTTTGAATTTTATCATAACATGTCTTATTTGCACCGGTGCGGTGTCGAATAAAGTAGGTGCAAGCACACGGCCCTGCAATTCTCTAGCCAAGGGTCCCTAATGCAATAAGTAACTAATTCACAGGCAAGGGGACAAATGGCATCACTTACGGCGACATCTGACATCGGATCTGACCAGTCCACAAACCATGCAAAACTTCATTCCACAGTTGAACAATATTTGTGATGACTTCCTAATTCTCTTGAAGAACTGCAGGCGACCTGATGGTACCGTCCTCGGCTTCGATCATCTTACGAATAGAATGGGCTTGGAATGTGAGTAATGTAACTATTATAATTTATTCGTATGTGTGATTTTTACCCTAATTCGATGTTATAACGTTCTAAATGATTTCTGACATTGGAGTTCGATATTCAAACTCGAAATAAACGAATATAACAGATCAGATTAGATCAGATCTTGTTAATTGGTTAATTAGATATATGTATCACGTGATATAATATGTGATATGCAGTATTAGTCTCATCCCTGAGGTTCGAAGGTTCGATCCCCGGCTGTGCACCAATTGGCCTTATGTCTATGTGCATTTAACAATCGAGAGTAAACTAGCTTATGTTAGACCCAAAAAAATCTATTACTTATAAGAACAATCTAATTATCACGAGACATACAGAAATCTGAGGCCTAGACCTCAAATATTATTAGCTTATTCTTACAGTCGATATTAAGAAAAAAATACTTTTGTTAATAAAAAGAGATTACCGGAAGCAGCATGTTTCTATTCAAATACTGCCGGATGTAGCTACCCGGGACTTGTCCTCGAGACCTCATAATCTGCAGTCGAACCGCCACTAGACCAATGGCTTAACTTGGTTAACTATCGTATAGATATATTTAATTTTATCTATATCGTATTGCTAAGTAGATGACGACATAAGTATTAGCTAGTAATATGAATCTTTGAAGAAGACAATTTGTTTTGTTTCTGCTTAGTTAAAATATGCAAGAGTGTTTTGAATAAGTAATAAAGTTAATTGCGTTGAAATCGGTGAATATATTTTTTCCTTTAGAATCTGAATAGTGTTTATCTATGGATTATTACGAGCAATCTAGTAATTTAGGTCAACCGTACTGGCTTATTACTTACAACTTAATTGACAAGTAGAAACAGGAAGAAATTAATTTATGATTAGACTTGAAGGTATACTTGATTCATGATCTATCTTCTGATTTAAACTATTTTGTGACTGGATAGTATAAATGTAGAACATTTTTAAATAGTCATTCCTTCCTTTAAAAATATTGTTCTAAAACAAATTGGGCAAATATTTTCTTTCTTTACGGTACCAATAAGGTATGCGAAAAAGTTCTAGTAAAATACCAATATTGCACGCGCTTATAACAAAGTATTAATACTGTTAATCAGGTTTTATCAATCACAATAGGAACGAATAATGTCATTGAGCATTTTCGCGGGAAAAATATTTTTTTACAATTATTTGGAGTTTCAAACGTAAACTGGATCGAAATACACCATCTGAATTTATGATATTTTATTGTTTATTTCAGCAGTAATTTGATAGTTATAATCTGCTTACGTAATTTGTTAGCCATTTACGGATGTTTTCTTAACATGGAACAAATATTTATATATATAAAACATTAATAATATGCATGCAATGCACTTTTATTTGGTTTAGTATTAGAATTTTAATAAGGTTTTGTGTTAAACTAAAAAAAAATGCTTTTAATAAATTATTTACCATAAATAATACTAATGGGTTACTTTTTTCAAATAAATATTACCATAAAAAAGACATATTTAGTAGCCTTTACTAGAAACGCCAACTTCTACAGACGAGGGAATTAAACTTTGACTGCATCTACTAGATGGCGCTATGTACTCGCTCAAACGCGATATCACTGTGACGGAGAATTTATACATATAACATTCGAATCAATGGTCTTTCTTTCCAAAACGATTGTTTTTCTTCCTATTTTTGGGAGCCAAGCTATTGCGAATAGCATTGACTTGGCTTAAAATTTGTATGAAATGAGTAATTCATAAATATATTTAAAATTTTAAATAAATTAAAAAAAAATTATTCTTAGTTACGACCCACGATTCTCGTCATTTTGTAGTTGTTTTTGTATAGAGTATAGACTTCATAGTTAATACACTTAATAGTAAAGCCGTGTGGTATTATGGTTAATGGTATGATCTATGATGATGACTGATTACTGATTGGCATTGGCGGAAGATGGCTCGTGGGCCTTCAATTTACGTTTTAAAAAGGTTGAAGAATACGTAGTATGTTAAGAGTAATATATTATTTATTCCTAGTCCTACTCCCTAATTCATTAACGTATTACATTCCTCATGTCTAGTATACTTTTAATAATAACAACTACATGCCAAAAAACATTATTTAATTAATTTGGGTTTATATCACGTAGCTTATGAAATAAGGGGTACGTGGCTCTACCAATAGACAAAATATATTCCGGCGCGCTGTAAACATTTTCAGAAAAATATTTGTGGAGACTTATTCTACGTCAGCGATTAAGGCTCTGTCTAAGAAATGGATTGGCCAAGAAATATGGATGTTCTATTATAATCAATAGAAGAAAGTGTCTGAAACAAATAACCCCTGATAAATAATGTATATCATGGCCACAACGCTCATCAATTGATTTGACGTTTGAACTTCCGCGGCAAATCTCAAATGCAACTCTGCTATTTTGTACTTATCTATGTGTCATTAAATTATTGTTCAATTTATCTATGAGCCCTACTAAGTAGGAGATTACAGTATGATTGAGTGTTGCTAGCAGGTTAAATTATGTAATATTTGATATAGTTACTCAATATTGCTAATTCAGGATCCTTAAGCTTCTCAAATGTTCCATAGTCAACCGTCAATTTAGCTTTTCGTTATTCAGGTCGAGTTTGACACTTTGAAATGGCGACGATAATATGCTAGTATGTAACTAGACATAATTTTAATATTTTAAACGGTCGCTTTTATTATAATGTGTGATTTTAGACCTGTCACTTTATAATTCTTTATATTCTACGTCTATGGAAAACATATTATAAATAAAATTGGATGCTGACTTGAACTATCATTACCGTCACTTTAGTAAAATAGTTTTGTAAAAAGTGAAATGTATAACTTTAAATTTGTTCTTTGTTTTACCTTAACACTGGACCGTCTGAGAGTATGTCCGTCATTCATAAAAACCTAAGTCAGGCATTTAATTTAATTTACTCGTCGTCCCTTTCTGCCAAAGTGTGTTTACATTGTGATCTGTGCTATAAATAAAACTGTATTAGACAGATTTGGGTTTTTTGTAGGGGTTTCATGTTTCAAATTACACGTCGGTGAAAACCTGGGACGGGTGAAAGATAAACTATCACGTGAACGGATGTACGCTTCATGATAAGGTCAAGTAAACATTAACAAAACATCCCTAATTTTTTCGTTGAACGATAAACTATTTATCTTAATAGTCTAACTTAAATAAGTTTACTGCTCCCGAGATAACGATTTATGGTTTCCTTTTATATGTATGGCTGAAATTAAAATATTTACGTAATTACTGCATTATCTATGGTATATTTCGGCATCATAAATTATTATTAGGTACTAGAAATTATGATAAAAAGTCACGTAATAATCTTTTGGGAATATGCTGCGGTTGCCTTTATTTAAATTAATATATTAATACTGTCAAGAAAATAGTGCATAAAACGTAGGGGAAGTTGTCTTCCGGTAATAATGCGATCAATATACGGCTAATAGAGGTCTTGAAGCCAAGACGGCCTTTGGCAAGCTTTTCTTTTGCGTCGTTAAATTGCACTTAAACTGCTATTATTGTCTACGGATCATAGTAAAATAACTATAAATGTGTATGACAAGGAACCTTCGTCGAATAGGAATTCTGAAGTAACGAAATGTAAAAAATTATTTAAAACTTTCCTGAAGAGAATTGATATAACAATTAATCTTCCTAAATTGTAAAGCTTCAAGTCATTATCTGTTTTCAATGTAGCTTCATATTTTGTGGATAATTCTTATGAGTTAGTAGTATTATAATATTAAAAGAGAACATCGTATTAGAATTAGCGCTAAGTCTCGACTCTGAATCCTGTCCTTAGGTCCATAGGTTAAAAACACATCATAACAACACACATAAACCAAGTCTTTTAAAACAAATGTTTTATTTTATAAAGAAACAGTATGTTTAAAGTTACTACATTAGGAGTGCTATATTATTAGGAACATTTTATTTTCGGGCAACGAAACCCTATTATATCCATGACTAACATTATTGTAATATCAAGGCTAGATTGAAAGATAGTGGCCTAATAGATTATATATTTTTAAAACTTTTTGTTCTAGTACGATGATGACTAATGAAAAACCTTCAACAAGTTCAATGGTACAATTATGATAGAGATTTTTTGCGGAAAATTCGTGACAATGGATGCGTGAAATATTACGTCGCACTTGCGTTTCAAGCTATCGATTTAAGTACATAGTATATGTTCGACGATGAACATACTACTAAAGCATTTATCATGAAGTACATACAACCAGAAATCCAAAGAAAACGTAATGACGTTGATAGAAAATGATTTAAAAAATGCAAATTTATAACAAATAGGAAAGCGTTGTCATGTCAAAGGTCTTATTAATTTAATTTGTATATTTTAATATAAGATGCACAAAAAATTCAATTATAGCACAGACTATATTAAAATTTTAATTAGCCGAACAAAACCCATCGGGCGTTGACATAAATAAATTATGTCCACAGACCACCCATTAAAATTGACAACATAATATGCACCCAGATGCCAATAAATTATAACAAATAAAATAAATTTAAAATGCATATGTTTTCGGTAATTCCGACTCGTTTCACTTCATCAGCACTTGTCTTTATTTACGTCATTTGTTAGATAGAATGCCATATTGAATGAAATATTAGTTTAATGATAGTGAATGTAGGTCAGGATTGTGGAGAATAATTGATTGAGTGCCCGCATAATGTGTAATATTTTGTGCAAGATAAGGTTTACTGGTTTCCTTGATATATCTATTGACAAAGAATTATTGTTATCTTAAGTTTCTATGACAGTTTTTCCTGTACGTGATATTGTATGTATTAGCTTATTTTGTATCTGTACGTATAAATATAGATCATTTATTCATTTCACGATAAAGTCTTGGTTTGCATTTCAGGGCTGCATGTAATAAATCGAAAGCTTGTCAAACAAACATAGATTTATCATATCTTTGCTCTGGGTTTTAAACAATTTTAAATTATGATCGCTATGGCGGCGAACGTTAAATAATATTACGTTTTGGCAATAATATAAGAGATGCATTCATGCTTGACAGTTTATACTTTTTCGTAATTATTAAGGCCCTATCCCAGCACGAATTGCTGTGTCAGTGTCTCGGGGTGGACTGCGGGGCGCAGTGGAGAGCTGGAGCACTCAGGCGCGCCGTTATAACAATTAGTTATGTAAAACATTAAATTAATGTGATTTTATCAATTTGTTTTTGAAATGGATTTCAATTTCGTTATAAAATGAATTCAAAGTGTCAAAAGTTGGCTATGTTTGGATTTTAGATTTATTTCGTGTATCGATATTTCAAAATAAATACATAAACTACTCAACTCCACCATATATTTTTTGCATTCGCCCTACTTCAAGACGATGACGAAAAATGGAAAGAAACAATGTATTTTTTGGAGTTTCGCGACTATATCGGTCTAATTAGTGAAGTTTATGTAATTGCGATTGAGTCAAAATTGTATCTACTAGCTTAAAAAGGAAAATGAAGACGTGAAATATTTGAGAGCAGACAATATTTTAATCGTTGCTTATGAATTTGAATTTGCAAAAAAGTTCCAAACTTTTTGTATCGTCCTCGTATAAATTAGACGGCAAGTCTTATTTTAATGAGACATAATAACTGCAACTGATTTATGGGTTTCAAGTAAACATTTTATCTGTAATCTTGAGATTTTAATGGATTTTGTTTTCGCACTTAAAGTGGTCGAACTACTGGATATACACAAAAAAACAATTTTTACACGTCAAAAACTTATTTCTAATGTCTTTCGGTTCTGTTTATATGCTTTTATTGTCATTGTATTATACATAAGTAATAAATAGGAAACAATATTAATCCAAAGCTTAATATATTTTTTAGAGATAATAAAAACAAAATTATGTGAAAACATGAATAAGATGGAATCGTATCTTAAATAAGAACACGTTGAATGATAAAAAGCCAATATAGTATTTTGATAACCTCCGTGAACTACCGCCATTCAATAATTTCAACAAGGCTAACTCATTAGTTTTTTCTACAAATAAGAATTCTATATAGAAAGTCCCTGGCTTCTTAGTAACAGTTTGAACAGAAATATACGGACTTGCCTTGTATTTCTGATCAGACTTTTGCACGTCAATTATTGGAGTTCCTACACGGTTAAGGTCGGCGGTCGGTTTTGAAAGGCCGGCAACGCACTCGCGAGCCCTCTGGCATTGAGAGTGTCAATGGTCGGCGGTATCACTTAACATCAGGTGAGCCTCCTGCCCGTTTGACCCCTGTTCTATAAAAAAAAGGTATTAGAGAAGCCCTAAATTATATAAACTAGCGACGACTCATTGGTCTAGTGGTTAGTACCCCTGACTGCGAATCCATGGGTCCCGGGTTCGATCCCCGGCTGAGACGAACATTGTTGTGATGAGCATTAGGTGTTGTGCTTAGGTCTTGGGTGTTTAAATATGTATTTATACATCTATCTATCTATAATATGTATGTATATCCGTTGCCTAGTACCCATAACACAAGCTTCACCAGCATGGGACTAGGTCAATTGGTGTGAATTGTCTTAAAAAAAAAAAATTAAAGCAATGATAAATATATATAATATGTACATTTATCACATAAACTCTGATGGTTTAAAATGCTATAATGTTTTACATTAATATAAAGAAAATTCCTTAATAGACAGAATGTGACTGATTAAATATTGTGTGATCATAAAACGAACTTGGGTATTTCGAACAAATGAACGCGATGTTAGCGAAACAACTGAGACAAGTTTATAGCCCTTGTCTTAGAGAAATAGGTAAGTAGGTTAAGTTCGAGAATAGTCGATCCTGATAAGACGCAAGGTTCGACTCTATCGAATTAGGGCACTCGATTAGGTCTAGCCTCTAAATTATATCATTAGTTATATAATATGTTTGTTTTATATGTTATTAACTACACGACTTTATACATTTGTACGCCTGTTTATTTTCGCCTGTTTATCGTAATGCAAGGATTGACGATACAAAAAAATAACCAATCAAATCATTTGAGCTGTAGCTGTGTTAGACTTACCTTTAAATTATATGTCATAAATTAGATTTCAATTAAGACATTGTATTGGGTTTATAAATTACAGTTATATTAAACCCATGAGGAAGCAACTTAAAACTAGTTCTAGGTAACAGTTAGCTAGACCTTCTGTCCTAGATATTCAGGAAGCAAGGCCTGGGATGTAGCCTGCACCGCTAATATAATTCATAGAATTTTATGAGTAGGTATATAGTTTCAGTATTTTTAAACTGCGACGGAGTACAAATTAACATTAAACATCGTGGATTAAATACATAAGCTTAGATCGGTTTTTCATAAAGAATCAGTTTCAATCAATAAACATATTTGATTAAAAAAACTAGAATAATCTAAAAAAATTGGAAGTATGGCGGATTTTTTTTTTAATTTAATTAATTTGTCACAGCTGTTTGTGGATTAATGCTGGGTGCAAGATTGGGTTTTCTGGAGCGGTGTATGTCTGGCCGTGCTGCTACTTTGGCGACTGCTGTTAAAGCCCATTTTAGGGCTCAAAGGGACTCGTACTATGGCGCCCCATTGTGGAAGTTCGCACCCACTTCGTTATACAAATCATTTGTGAAAAGTGAGGATACTATTCATACGTGAGTACAAATTAAATTAGATTGTTTTAGAGTATTTAAGATATTATTAGGCTTATTAATTAAGAATTAAAATAGAAGTTCGTACATAACTGTACTGCATTAATTATTTAATCATTCATAACAGAACATTTAGTAAGTTTCGAAGTCATTGTATCGCCGCCATGTTACACTCCGCGGGTGTTAGCAAGTTTCATATTTCTTATAAACTATAAGAAATATGAAACAATGAATAAATTTCATGTATTATAAAAACTTTATTTAAATAAGACGCTAAATAAAATGCGTAAACTATAACGCAATTAACGTCCTGATTTTCACATACATTTTTAACTTCTTAAGGTAAGTATAACAATACTTTACCTAAAAAGCAACGCATGTTTAGACAAAAAATAGGCTTTTAGTATGATAGTGAAAAGCTATACTTCGTGCTTTCCTTGGTTATGATAGGATAGTATCAGATCTAATGGAGGAAGCGAAATCTCGGTCCCGCGGCGCGGCGCAAGACGACGGCATGCAAGAGATCTTCCTCAAGATATTGGCTAACCCTGAACTAGACATGAGGGACAAAAAAGCCGCAGTCATCGATTTTATCACGGCTGGCATTGAGACAGTGAGTGCAATTGTTACTAGTTTCGTCTAGTCTATGATGGTCGCGTTTTTACGTAAAAACGAACAAAGCCTTTTCGTGATGTGAGCTAGGCCAAAATATTGAGGGCAATTTGATTATTTTTTTTGCAAAATTGTAATTTATTTATTAAGACGTGATGTTTACTTTCTTTTTATTAATTGAATCTTTAATCTTTTTATTAAAAATAGAAAGGCAAAAAGTTAATTGAACTTTACGATTTTAAATCTTGTTTTCAGTTGGCAAACAGTTTAGTATTCCTCCTATATTTATTAAGTGGAAGACCAGACTGGCAACAAAAAATTAGATCCGAGTTGCCATCTTGCGGAGACCTCCGTATTGAGCAATTGTCATCAGCGCCATCTATCAAAGCAGCAACAAACGAAGCATTTCGAGTCCTGCCCACTGTCCCATTTTTGGCTCGCCTTCTAGAACAACCAATGAATATTGCTGGCCACAATTTTCCCGCTGGTGTAAGTAGCTTACTAAAAATACAGTGTCAACTCCATGTAACGTGTCTCGATTTAACGACAGCGTCGAACTTGGTCGACGTTGGCTTTGGTTGGTTTAGCTTGTCTTCCATAAAATGATACACTCTACATAGCATTACACCCACCCGCAGCAATTAAATACAAAAAGTACTTTTTATTTTGTCGAAATTAGTTAAAACTGCGGAGCTGTGTACGTTCTTTTGTCGCTATATTCTCCTAGCGAGGAATAAACTCGACTGTCGGTACGCGTCATAGGTACGTAACCGAATTTTCCAAGAAATCAGTTACTTTTTTTATCAAATTGCGCATGCTTGCTTGCATTATTACGAAGATGCCTCAGTATCGCAAGATATGAATTAAATAAGTAAAAAAATACAACCTAACTACTGGTATAGTACAAAAATAACAGACAACCCAATAGCGTTCGAATTCTTTTTACGTAATTACTAACACTAGTCTGAAATAAACTTTCTTTTTCTAATACAGATGTTTCTTTCCGTTTTACGGCAACTCTTTGTAACGTGTAGTTATATAGAGTTTACACTGTAGTACCAGAAACCACCATTTAATAGTAGATAGATACATCGCATCGTACTAAAGTTTTATATTAAACTTTTTTTTTCTTCTCTCACAGTGGTTGCCTGGAAGAGATCGCTCGAAAGCGATAAGGCCGCCAGTTGCTCTCCTTTTTATTTAATTATGTCAATTGTACTATATTAATGTATATGCGACGAAGTGTTAATAAATAAATAAATAAGCTAAGCTTCTTAACATACAAGTTATTATTGCGTCAGTATTTATACTTATTTACATTATACTATCTTCACTTCTAGACTTTTGTCTTGGCGCACACGGTGACAGCGTGCAAACGTGAAGAGAACTTCTGGCGTGCCAGTGAGTATCTGCCAGAACGTTGGATAGACGTTCGAGAACCCCATGCTGCATCACTTGTCGCGCCGTTTGGTCGTGGCAAGCGCATGTGTCCGGGAAAGCGATTTGTTGAAATGGAGCTGCATCTTTTGGTTGCCAAGGTACGATTGTTTTCATACAGGCTATTGCTAAAAGACGACTAAAGATTTATAAAATTAGATATATGATATTGAGTATTTTATCTTTTTAATAGAAATAAGTTGCACGTGGTAAAAATAATCGCGATATGGTAAAGGTTTGTTAGGGTTGCCTGGAAGAGATCGCTTACTAACGATAACGTCGCCCGTTTAAATTCTTTTAAGCATTTTGCTAATATTATTATTTAATTTTTGTGCAACAAGTGTAAATAAATAAAGAAATGTTGAATGTGAAAGTTTTCGTAATATGGGAGACGCGTTTTATAATGTGTAGGTACATTTGTATTTCACAGATAATACAGCAATGGCGCGTGGAATTCGACGGCGAACTTGATGTCCAATTCGATTTTCTTTTATCACCAAAGTCCCCCGTATCCTTACGATTAGTCGAATGGTAGAACATTCCACCACAACTTTATGCTTAAGCTTGAACTGATAGCTTTAAAGATTCCGAATACTAGCATGTTAATTAAGGAGTTCCTTTGTTATTTGTGTGTTGTTGAAAGGGACAGAACATTTTGCATTTTTGAATAACGTTTGAGTAAGGCTGATAGATTTATAAGTATTTTTAATAGCTCATTATCTCCAAACTTAGGTAACTTGGACCAAACGCGATATAATATTGAAACTCTATTAGGACAGTTATATAATTAATAGGCTGAAACAGAAACTACATAATTAAGAAAAACTGCTAAAAGCTATTGAAGAAATGTTAGCGATAGCTGTTTATATATACGCAAAGTTAGTACAAGTAGCGGCACGAAACTCTAGCGCTGACCGTTATTGCGCAGAAGTAAAAAATAAGGTACCTGAGGGGGGCTAGCGGGCGCGCGTAGCGTCGATTGGCTCTCCAGTCGCATTCCGTCCCCCGCGCGACAGTACACATGCGCAGCAATCCCCTCCACGTATCGGCCAGCGCTAGACTTACGTGCCGCTGCCTATAAGCATGTTCGCGTTAGAACCCGCTATTAAAATAAAACATTATAACATTTAATCATTGAGGCTTAGTCAAGATGCCTTAACAGTATTTAGAAAGTCGAAAACTAAATTTGTATGAAAATTACAGTTTAATCGTTATATGACTTTTTGTTTGGCGACAGAGAATCAAGTTCACGATAAGATTTGTTCAGGTCACTCGGTGTCGCGTCTCGTTTGCTTGCAAAATTTTGCTTCCTAATTAACAGCATTAAAATTGCCTAAGTTTGGTAAAGAGCATTTTTGTATTTCTATAATGATAGGTTGTGTAACCGTTATGAAATTTGTATTTTCTGGTCTGTATATTGACGTAGGAAAGCATATTTGCTGTAAGTAGACAAAATACCTAAAGTGACTTTTTCCTGCCATTAGAATCAGAAAAAAAGCCGCATCGAATGACCTGGGTCCTGTGTCTCTACGATGAAAAAAAAATTACATACGCCGTTGAAAACGCCCGTACTTATATTATTTTTAGCAAGATTAAATGCTGTATGTAGACCAAAATCTAGTCATTTCAGACATTTCGCACTTACAGCAAAAGAAAATCTGCATTTTTTTCATTACAAATACTTACTTCTTCCCATTTAAAAACTTAACGCTACTTACAGCATTTCAGCGGCGTGTGATTTTTACATTCGTTTACTTACAGCAAGTTTAGGGAACCTACAGTTTTGGTTTTTTTTACCATTTACGACATTTTATTTCAACCAAACATTACATTACCAAATGACCCACTGCATTTCTAGATCTAATCATAATTATAAACTAATCTTACATCTTGAATTGCAATTAAAAGTACCCAAATACATAAATTTCCTGCATACAGCATATTTACCGCCTGTAAATTGATAATATTTCCGCGCGTACATTTTTCTTCCTTAGTTACAGCGTTTTAAAGGTTTGTGATTTAAAAAACTGTTTGCTGTAACTAGCCAAACACGTACTTATAGTAACTTTGGATAAAAAGTTTACATTGCAAATGGTGACTGGCAGTTAAATAAATATATGTTTCAAAAATGGTAGCAATATCATGGATAGGTCAGACACTATTAATTTTTTTCCGAAATTAATAAAGTTTTTTGGCTCTGGTGAACAATTGCAATATGTCTACTTACAGCAAATTTGCATTTTCTGGTCTGTATATTGAGACATGTTACATAGTTCTAACTTCTAACATTCCGATATTAATACCGAACCTGTTTTTTAAGAATCCTTATAATTGTGAAATTCTGCTTTACCCTATAAATATATTGAGTAACAGACTATTTGTATATGAGCCAAATATGTATAAGGGCCTAGTAGAAACTGGCGTGCCATCAAAGGTTGCCATGACTAAACTCGAAATAATAGCTAAGCATTATGATTAAAGTAATATTACAGGGTATTGGCACAGTCTGCTCAAATTGTATACTTTCTTATGACTATTCATAATTATTAAATAGTTTAAGAACACATAGGAGTGCTAAACTACATAGCCACTCTGACTAGCCAACATATAGCTAACTATTGAAAGATGGTTCCAACAAAATTTTCGTAATTCGGAAATGTTTTTAAAATGAGATGCTTAAGGCGATATTCAGAAATTACTTATACCGAGTTAAACGCAAGATTCACATCAAATATTTTAAAATTACCTAAAACTCAAATGAAATGGATTGTCAAGTGTTTCGCCTTTGATGGCATAGAAGGCTGTCCTGCCTTCAAAATGGTAAATGAATGAACCTCTGATACATTTCAGTCATAATTAAATAGTTAAGTGACTAGAAACATACACGTCCGCATAGGTAAACGCATTTCACAGTGGCTATGAAGTATAGCAATACCTGGCTTTGAGACAATAACCATTCAGCGTTTATATGAAAAATAATTTGTAGGGAAAGTCCCGTGGTAGGGGTATTTGTACTATTATTTTGGCGATGTCAGCGAAAGCTTTTTGTCTCAAGGCTCTTCCCTGCACTTAGTATAAGTTCATAACTACACAACGTAGTAAGATATGGCTGTGTTAATATCAAAAATCATATTTATATAGTTAACCATGAATACCTCCGTAGTGAAAACTATATCAACTGCAAAGTTTGTTTCAAATATTAAATTAATGTTTATTTTTATGATTTTAATTATTTTTGAAGTTATACTTCTTTAGGCGCGTTATGAAAAATTGATGAGAGTGAAATTTTACGATGCGCGCGCACCGTGACATAAAATTAACAGAATGAAGTTGCCCACGGAAGATGCTACGGCATTGGACATCATTTAAAAACAACATTCGAATAATAATAGAATTTATGTTACACTTAATGTAAGAGAATAATAATAAATATTTATTTATTTAATTTTTCAAATGTGAACTTTATTGACTATATATGACTCCTTTTCCAGTCTTTGATTATTTAATTGTAATTAATTATTTGCATGCAATCAAAAACAATTTTTAATAATGAAAAAGAAGTATAACTTCTTACGCGCGTACATAAGTACACGAACCCTTTTTTTTATTATTTATCTTAATTTCTTTCAGATCATGTTTTCATTGTTAAATTTGCCATTTTAGACTAAATTGTTTCTTCAGATATGTTGTAATATTCGGCCATAAATATACGACACATTCTTGGTCTAGTGCTATCAAACAAATAACTTTCAAGTTTCCCTCCGCAAAAGTGAAAGAAAGAGTCACATCTACCCAGTTACAATTAAATGTGCTTTGTGTATATTTTTGAATTTTTTTCACAAAAACCCGCCGCACCGTACAGTATATGATTGTTTAATTAATCTTGTATTCCGCAGTTATAGGTATAAGTAATGTTTAAGTTTTGTGCAGCTTTTATGTTAACCATACATTAAAGTGGCCATTTCAATTATAATGTTAATTTTTTTATTGATTTTTACCTCGTAAAAGCTAAGCCTATTTTATAAACCTATAAGTCTCAATTTGATAATGTATGAAACCGTTATTTTTGAAATGTCAGGAGAGTAATACATCCAAAAGCTTCTTCGACCTTATAGTTAGTTTATAAATGGGGTTATTTTTTGTGATTTTGGTTATTTGCATTTTTATAATGTATTGTATTATGAAATAAAAATGTAAGCTTTGTATTGTGTTTCGTTTCTTTCCTCATTATGTATATGTAGAAGAGAAAATAATTAATAGCCATAACGTAAGCAATAGATTTTACATAATGATATTCAAAAGTATTATACCTCAATAATATTTGTCTACTGTAGCACAGCTAGTTTTATATTTGAAATTTTTGAAACAATCTTAAGAAAACTATCTATAAAATATAGCACTATTTCAAAATTTATCTATTTGAAAAGAAAATCTTAAATTGATCTTTATATCAATTAGTCTTTGTTTCAAAGACATTCACAGATTTTTACATCTGTTTTATTACATTACTACGCTTACCTAACCGAAACAATTTCACCGGGAATCAAACTACAGTTACTTAGTCATCTTCGTTAACGAAGGCTTGTTAGCAGTAAGTCATGACGATAACCTTAGTATAGTTTGGTATAATTTTGGGTTAATAAAGAAAAATTTCGACATTTTCCATTCTGTACTGAAATGTCAGTAATCAGTTTTGAGCTGTGACAGTTCGCTATCAGCTGCGGAGTGCGGTTTGTACACAATCATAACCTCTTGTTTATTTAGTAAATCACAGTAGCTGTTATGGTTAGATAACAAATGATAACATTATCAATCACATTTATATAAATGGACGGTTGTAAAATTAAGCTTTTAATTGCCGAATTATTAAAATGAAGTTCTGTGCCAATCTTTCGTTTATGTTTACGGAGGGTGCTACAATAATAGAAAGATATGGTCTGGCGAAGGAAGCTGGTTTTAGGGCTGTTGAAACTGGTTTTCCATTGGGATTTACAATAGAAGAGGTAAAAAGGGCTCGAGAAAACGCAAAAATCGAACAAGTTCTCATCAACATTAAGACAGGTTTGTTTATAGATGTTGCAAGTATATTTATAAATATAAAAAGTTTTATAACTTAGCCGTTTTATTATAGAATAATAATATGCTATTAAAAACTGATTGATTATTTATTGCTTTATCTTATATACTTGACTATTCTATACCATCTTTTCTGTGGGTAACCCAAAATTAACGAATAACGAAAATGCGCGACAAAGTAAGCTAAGCCAGGAGATAGATTACAGTCATCTTACTTTTTTCAGATTATTCTAAAAAAATATTCCAAAGCTCAAATTAACCATGTAAGCAACCCTAAATTATTTTTAAATTGTAAAATAAAGTATTTAACATTCTTACAGGAGATGTAAGCAAAGGTGAACTTGGTGTAACAGCTATTCCAGGAAAAGAAAAGCAATTTAAAGAAAACCTAAAAGAAACAATTAACTATGCTACTGCACTTGGTGCTTCAAAAATACACATAATGGCTGGAAAGTTAAATACTGTAACTGAGGCCAATTGGGTAGTATATGAGAACAATTTAAGGTATGCTGCAGAAGAACTGAGGGAATGCAACAAGTTAGGGGTGATTGAGCCAATCAATCAGCACTCTGTGCCTAATTATTTCCTTAGTGACTTTAAACGAGGTATTTATAACATGAATATAACATAAACATATATGTTTCATAAGTATTTTTGTGTACTATGCTTTATGCCATAAATTACTTCAGAACTATTGGAAACTATTTGGATTTTATTATTTAATTAGGTAACCAACAGCAAACATAATTATATATAATCAGAAAAAATGCCATGGCCTACCCTTTAGCTCTATATTAGGGTTTTTGTATATAGATAGCACTTGAAGTATTGTATAATTATTGTCAATTGAACGATAATTTATATGTTATAATTAAGCTTATAAAATACAAAAATAGTGCCATCTAATTTGTTAAATTTTTATTTACAGCTGTTGATATCATAAAAAGGATTGGAAGTGAGCATTTGAAATTGCAGTTAGATATATTCCATTTGCAACACATTTGTGGTGATTTGTCATATAATATAAAGAATCTCATGCCATATGTTGGACATGTCCAGGTAAATATGATCAGTAGCCTCTGAGTAGGCTGATTTCTTCTGAGAAGTATAAAACTATACTAAAAAGTTGAGATTATAAAGTTGATGCTATATTTATATTTATATAGTAACATACTTAACTAATATTTTTATAGATAGCACAAGTGCCAAGTCGAAATGAACCAGATACACCAGGAGAAATCAACTATGAGTACATTTTAAAGACTTTGGAGAGTAATGGCTACACTGATTGGATTGGTTTAGAATACAAGCCAGCTGGTAACACAAACGAGGGCTTAAAATGGATAAATAAATATGGTTATAGCCTATAGTGTTATATTTTGTACTGTTGAATAAAATCATTTGTTATTATTGTTGATTATTTTATTATTATTAAGCTGAATGTTTTAATTATTTAAATTAAATTAAAATAAGGCCTTAGCAGTTTTTCGTACTTACGATCATTGTATCTTTCATCCACAGGAAAAACAATGGCAATATATTTTATAATAATATGATTGTTGCAATGTTAACCTAGTGGTTATGTATGTGATTGTAATGCATAGCATTAAATTGAATTGTGTTATTTTAAGATTGGTTTTTCACTACTCACTATCAGTAAAAAGTAACATTAGAATAATTCCTTTAATAAATACAACCAGATTAATACAATTCAATAACTAAAGAAAATTTATGCCTTATGTTTAACCTTCAGAAATTTTTTTACCCAATAATGGCTCTTCACTCCCTCTAGTGATAACCGCTCATCACTTGAGTGTCGTAAAAGCTGAAATAATGTTATGGTCAAGTTAGGATTGGCTCATTGTTTTAATTTTATTTTATTAAAGAATGCATTTTTGAGTTCTCGTTAAAAAGGCATTTATAATCTTGTTACATAAATGAGTTTTGATATAGTACAAATACATTGAAAACCGTTTAGAACAACATACCGGTTATATTGATCAAAATCAAAGGTCCCGGCTGAATTCTATTGTATTAGGTTCTTAATAACAAAGTTTTCGGCTGTTACGACTAACACTTTTATGACCAAAAATGAGTAGTCCCTTCTATGTGGTTATAACAGATTTTGACTGTATATATAATCATAACTTTTCATTATTTGAATAATAATGAAAAGTAATGGTTGTAGAATATATTTGTCTAAACTACAAAATATGGATAAACTAGCTAAAATTTAGAAATTTTTCTGTTGGTGAAATAGAGATGCCTTCTTGCCCTGTTATGTTAAAAAATATTAATACAAATAAATTCACCATGATACTTTTGTGAAGTTTGTGTGTTTGACTAGAAGGCCTTTTCATTTAACTGAACAGGATTTTCTATAGTGAAATGTAATTAAAATTGATTTATGAAGGTGACAATGCTAAGAAGTTTATAAATATAATTACCTTACAGATAAGATCCCTTGCACCATCAGGTACATGAGATGGGAACTTTATATCAACAGCCAAAATTTTTGCATATGTCTGATCCTGTCCATCACTTTCAAATGGTGGTTTCCCAACAAGGAATTCATACAACAGCACTCCAATACACCAATGGTCAACAGATACATTATACACTTGCCGTTTGATCATTTCAGGAGGTAAATAATCAAGAGTTCCACACATTGTTTTTCTCCTGTAATTTGTATAAAGTGCTTAAGAAAACTCAATGTTATAATGACATATTTTTACAATACATTATTTAACAAATACTATATTTTATTCTAAATAAAATTAAATGGACATCCTTAAATTAATAGATCTGTTTCCTTGAGTGTTAAGTTGGTCATCAGCATGTTATGCCTGAGCTGCACCATTGATCAGGTCAGACATGACAGTCTCTTCAATATTTTACTCAATATAATATGAGCACCTAAAGTAAAACCAAAATCTACTCTCTAACAATACACTACATAAAAAAACAAAGAAAAAATTACTTCTCAGATGGAGCGTGGACAGACCAACCAAAGTCTGCTAATTTAAGGTCTCCGCTGTAAGTCACTAATATGTTTTCTGGTTTAATATCTCTGTGAATTACATGCTGTCTGTGACAATAATCGACTGCATCAGCAACCTAAAATACGTTTTTGGGATTCATTGATAAAAGTTCAAATTATATATTAAGATTTAGTATCATCAGTAGTCAGCTAATGTATAAAATATAAGCATGTTAAGAATTAAAAAACTAGACCATTTTTAATAATTTTGGACTTGAATAGCAAGTCTATTTCTTTATACACAATGAAACAATTTAGGCTTTCATTGTAAAAATTACAAGTAAACTTCAATTAATCATGAGTTATATAATAAAGTACTGATAATTTCTTGATTGAAATGTATACCTGATATATATATCGAGCTGCTTTAGGTTCTGGGAAACGTCCATTTGGGGCTTTTGTAAGGTGTCTGTATAGTTCTCCTCCAGCGGCATATTCAACCACTAGATAAATCCTCCTTTCGTCATGAAACCAAGTCAATAATCGCAGAATATTGGGGTGTCTGAAAAATGTAAAGTGCAGCATCAACAACCTGTATGATTTAATCAATTTAAATTCACACAGAATGCTATTCTGTATTCTACATTTGATTGTCTTAACAATTTTAACTTGATGCTGTAAAAACCTTAACAATTTTTAATTTTATTTCTTAAAAAAACAATTAATAATTGTGTTATTATGAAATATAAACTTACTTTAAATGGGATTGAATCTCAATTTCTCTTAAAACTTGTTGTTCACATCTTGAGTGCATAATCTGAGATTTGAATAATGTTTTTATTGCAACGAGTAAGCCAGTTTCTTTTTCTCGTGCTGCATATACATGGCCAAATTTACCTTGACCGAGTGCTGATCCTAGTTCAAAATCTTTAGCAGACCATTTGTAGCTAAAAGAATGATAAAAATAACTGAATTTATGAGTAAGTTCCACACACTTGTAACTTGTCAAAGAGAAGCAAAAAATACGTTGGAATGAAAACTACTTATAATATAACGTCATCATTCTGAGTGTTTTCGTTGTGGATCATGGTCATTAACAGTGTAACGAATGTTTACGAGTTTCTTACGGTTTTCCATAGCCTTTATGGTTTTTAATCCTTGTTTCAAGCTCCTCAACTTCTTTGCTAACGTCTGTCATCCTTATGATTATTAAGACTGTACCTAATTATAGTAAATAGTTTATGTTTAACAAGATCACCAGTAACTCCAAATAGCAACATGAAAACCGTTGCGACTTTAAAATTTCAAACTTGACAAATTTACACAGGCGTAACGTCCAGTGTTCAAAATTAAATGATGTCAAATATAACTTGCGTTCAAGTCAGGGCTGCCAGATGAAAAAAGCGCATTATCGTACTCCAACTACAAAAAATCGTATATCAAGGAAATTTTAAAATATAACATAAAAGTGGAAAGTTTTTCTTTAAAAATACTGGCTGCCTTTGCCTTGAAGAGTGTAACTTTAAAACTCCACATTCTGAAACCATTTCGACGTCACAAACAGTGCACCTGGCTTTAAATTGGTTTTTACCGGGCCCTAACCAGTCGTTAAATAAATCAAATTTTTCCCAATCGGGACGATACTTCTGTGGTCTGTGTTTCTTCCTCTCTGTTGCAGAAAGCTCTCCTCTTTTGGCTAATTTCTTTTTTTGGAGTACCTGGCGTAGGTCGCTCTTCTTCATTTTCACTACGCATTCTTTCTTAAGCGTATTGAAGTAACACAAAAAACACTAAAGACATTATGAACATCAAAAGAGGATATAATCACTTGGAGCTCGAGACTGATGAGAAAAACACGTTTTTGACTATTAAAATACAAGTCTTTACAAGAATATATAATTTTAAAGTTTTGTAATAATGCACTCAAATACAGACTTTTTTGGAGTTTACTCCTTAAGAAACGATTTGAGTTATAAGGCCCGGTACCGAAATTTTATGAGGAGTAAAATCAAGTGTAACACGAAAAGTTGAGGCGTTATGTAGAAACACGAAAAGTTGAGGCGTTATGTAGAAAGAGACAAACATATATATCTGTAGGATTGAACGTGTAAAGAATGAGATGGGTGTATTCCACACACAGACTACACAGACTTTTCTATTTTGAATTCACGTTTTGACAGACAGTTTATAAAAACATATATTCTTACCACCTTTAGTATGAAAATATGGTCGACAGCCACAGAACATTATCGCCATTTTATCGTTCGTAAGGAGTAAACTCCAATCGTGCGTCGTAGCTGACACACACACACTTTATGCCAGTAAAGGTCAAGTAAAAGGTTTTAGGGGCCTCATAGCCTAGCGGTTTTATTAAGTGGCAGCTAGGTGAGGGGTACCGGGTTCGATTCCCGGTTCGAGGGCAAGTTTTAATTTAATTTAAATTTGTTTTCGGCTTTTGGGAGGGTTGTGCGGTACCGGGCGAGTGCCTAAACCGTACATGGAGGACATGGTCGAATTTCTAAGGCAAAAAGCACGAACTATAAAAATCTTATACTTGACGCTGGCTAATGCACAAACCGTGCCAGAGCCATTAATAAAAAAATTATTGATTATGAAAGAAGATAACACATTATAATACAATAAAGGATAAAGAAGCGTATGAAGGCTTAACAGAAGGAAAATATTTACTGGCTTCGACATAAGACATGTAGCTCTGTGCCATTTTAATTTTGATTTCTGTCCATGATTTATCTATCGCTGAATGGGACCCTTCGACTTCACACATTACACAGTACAGAGGATCTTCATCTGACCTGTCACATGATACACCTGCATGTCGACCTCCATCTGAAAAACCAACTACGCCCCTGTTTCTTCCTATACGCTTTACACTGCCGGGAATAATATTATTAAATTTGTTCTGCTTTAAAAAATTGCCAAATGTTATAGGATGGAGAATGGTCCCGTCGTCAGGTGAACTTTGTATACGTTGAACATGTATTAAATAAGGGGAAACATCAGTAGGAACATATTCAGTACGGCCAATCGAACGGGGGCCCGTATTGGTTACTGAAGCTGTGGTGTTGTTTGAATTTCCCGCGTTAGAGTCTTGAGAGATATTTGAATTTTCCATGTAAGATGTTGATGGTTGAGAGGATGTGTTATGTAAATTATTATTTTGCGAGTGTGGAGATGACGTGGATTGAGATATAGGTTTAGAAGTAACCTTTTTGATTAAAATTGACTCATCTTCTCTTCTACATTGCATAAGCTTTCGCACTGACTGAGTAATCACCGCTAGAACCACTACCTTTATTTTTCTTAATTTTCGTACTCTGACGACAAAGGCGCAAATAACGTGTTCGTTTACGACTTCCTTCACCTGTCTGAGAAGATAACGAACAATCCATTTTGTCAAATTCATCTTGTGAACCAACAGATTCATGTCCCCCATCGACCCAGGTCGGGGGGGCTTGTTCATACAATATTTACAAAAACTTACCGACTACACGATGACACTATACACAAATATGATATAAAGATTACATATAATACAAAAATTAAAACTACCAGCTTATCCTCTGCGTTTTAACTAGTAAAGTTAAATTAAATTTTCACCACCGGGAAAAAAAAACGTATACCATGAACGAAGGTTCCCGCGCTTACAGTCAATTTATTTTTCGTTTTAACTGACTTATGTTCATATTCATATAATTCGTGGAGGAATGTAATTTATAGAGTAGTCCTCCCAATACACAATATTTGTTAGGCATAGGCATGTATCTTTCATGGCATCTAAAATAGCGTCAATTATATATTTATATCATATCAGCTGTCGTTCTACAGTAAATGCAATGCAATCAATGCAATATACATTTGACGACGTTAGTGAGTCACGCCTGTGAAAAAGTGGTATTGTCTTAAAACAGGTCTTCAATCAAAGTAAAAAAAATATTAAAGATATAATAGAAATACCATAAATGGGGCAAGTAAAGTAAAAGGCCTATAGGCAAAAAAAAAACGAAATAGAAGACTACAATTTGACTTATGCTAACTATTAGAATTGGCTGTTCCACTATCCAATGACTAAAGAGAATCGGTGCACGTGCTGGTTATAGAAATAACAGCACATTTTGCAGAATTAAACTGCAGTTTTGCACCCACTTACTACCCAAACAATATCCTGCTGCAATCGTAGACCATCTTGTTCGCAATTTATCGGCAGTGACAATTTAAGGTTCTCCGCGAATAGTAAACATTTTATATCCTCCACTACACCAGGTCATTTACCATTAACAACAATTTTAATGATTCCAAATTGCTTCCCAGTAAAACACCAGACCGAGTATAATATTTTTTAGATTAAATTGCAGCATATTTTTAACATACTGCCCCCTATCCGTCATGTGACTTGTCATAAACCGATGTTGGGGGTCAGAGAACTCGGTCGAAAATGCACTTTTGAAGCGCTGACTCCATTACCTTCGCTGATGTTAACAAAATTGCCACCGGCCTATAATGATGCACTCTGTCACTTCGTCTATGTTTAGGCACTGGAACAACTTGCTTCTTCATTGATGTGGGAATGGTTATGCTTTGAAGTTCAAGGCATAAATTGAATATTATATGGAAAAGGGTTTCGGCGAGTACCTACTGCTCCCTCTGCCCTAGAGATGGCGTGAGACAAAAATGTCAACCACAGTTGATGTTAATATTATATTAAATTCTAAATTTGTAACTAGGTGGCGTTTTTATACATTAATCTCATATATTAATAATTATGTTCGATTTAAAGCTCACCAAGAGCCAGATAACTAGTTTCCAGTAGCCAGATAAAAAATTCGACTTTATAGAATCCCTCAATCTGATTTCAAATAAATATAAGTGATCAATCGTTTTGTCTGTATTTGACATTGAATAATTTTCTAGTTGTATTGGATATCTAAATAGTTACAATAATCGTGAATGCTTTGATGAAATATTTAGTTCAAAGGGAGAACAGCAGTACCTGTTTACATAAGTTAAAATAGACGTGTTTAATAAACGAATTCATAATCTATCGTCACAACCTTGAAACTGTCTAGTTGTTAAGTCTAGTAACACGCAACTCACACCCTTCCTTGTTGGGGTCGGTTATGGCACGTAGTAAAGTTTAACATCGATTTTACCTATACTTACTATATTATACTATACTTTATTATCTTCAATGATCATTAACAAATTCAGCAGCACATAATAGTAGATTAATAAAATTTAAGAGCCAACAGAGGTACTCAGAATAGTTAATGACGATTTAATATTTATTTAATCCAGGTATAGACGTATCAGTGCCCAATCTATAAATCTGAGCTAACATGTGACTATGCTCTCAATCTGTCTTTAACTAATCTACTATCAGATAATTTTGGACTGGGAATAACGTTAACGACATAATCTAAAGCAATGAACATATTTTGAATGACAGCGGAAACCTGTTAAGATTTAATTAATTTCAGCAGTCAAAAACTTAATGAGGAAAAATAAAATGTAACACTAGTCCGGATTCACCCTTTCCTCGAGTGTTGACGAAAGACAACCCTAGACCGCGGTGAGGGCCCTTTTAATTTACAAAAAGTACCTTAAAGTACATGCGTTATTTTAAAGGGTAGGTGTTAATGCCTACGAGATCTAAAGCAGACGTTTGTAAAGGTAATTAAGGGGAAAATATATGAGATACTTAAATGAAGTGATAGGGGCGTGAGATAGATTTTTTATCTCGGTCCGTGGTTAATTGTTTTAATTAAAGCGTTTTCCTGTCATTTATGTTTGTATACTAGGCATGTAGTTAGATCATTTTTGTTTAGTTAGTTAGGACATTATATGTATGTCAGGTTTTCGTTTGAACTTCGTCTGGCCTTAATATGATTTTATAAAAAGAATACTCGGATTGGCCCGTCTTTGATTTTGCTTAGCAACATATTTTTTTCTAATTTTGTGGATTTGCTGAGGTGTATGTTTTTTAGATTCTTTAACACCTTTTGAAATGTACTTAGTAGACATTTCTACATGAAACGAACGACAGAAAATGCTACAATTTTAAGAAAAACGAAAAGTCTATAAACTAGCGCCACTCCCAGTGGATCTCTTTCATGTAACAGGCGCTACGTGTTCAGCGCAACATATTTCCAACCCCCGAAGGCGGGAAATGATGGAAAACGC